CAATGTATCAATAACAGACTTTTATCTTTTTACTGAGTTGCAACATCCTTTATATATACTGCAGACACTAATGTGTTGCCAGATGATGATTTGTGAGTATTTTCTCCTATCCTGTGGTCTAGCTTTTCACTTTCTTGATAGTACACTTTAAGGCACAAGTTTTAATTCTAATGATACAGTTTTATCTATTTGCTTACGCTTTTGATGCCATAGCTAAGAAACCACTGCCTAGTTCAACATCACATCTTTCTCTAAGTGGTGCTAGGACTGTTAAACCCAAGGCTTTTCACATCGAGCTCTACCCCAGCCCTTCCTTCGTGTTTTCACTTTGAGACTAAGTCACTATATTACTCTGCTGGCTCACCAGGGCTCAAATCATGATCCCCCACAGTCACTAATCCACAGAGTTACTCTTACATGTGGGGACTGAGGTAGGAATTATTTTTAAGTGATATTTTAAAGGCAAAAATTGGCTTAATCTTTCATTTTCATATCTCATTCACATTAGCCGGTGTGTAACTCCAGACTGTGAGGTTAGGAGAGCTACAGTAGAATCCCAACTCTGTCTCTTATGACTTTCAACAAGGTATCTGACCTCTTTGGGCCTTGATTTCCTACTCTGTAGAACCTTAAGATGAAGATTAAACACCAGTAAAATGTACAAATACTGCTCACATGCGTCCCACTTAGCAAGTCAGCTAAGTCCAGCTATTAATTATCCCCTTCCAAGTGGCACTGGAGTTCGTGTGTCCTCAATCAGTGTCACAGATTCTATCCTACCCAAGGCTACCCCATTTCTTACTAATTCTATTCTTGCCTCTAAACTTGTTCTCTTCCAAATTCACTGTCTTTTCTCAACCCTACTGTAAAATGCATACCTGACCATCCACAAAAACACTTCTACCGTGCTGCCAGGATGGTAACCACAGAGCCACAGAGACTTTCAGGTCTGGCTGCTGCTGTCCTCTCCAGTCTAGTCCCCTCTGCTAATCTATCAGGAATAAACCAGACACTACTTTCTCTGAAAAGCCTTTCCACACGGTTTTATCCTCAATTCAAGGATAAAAACTCTTGCTGTGACACTGTGTACTGTTACTATCGACACACTCATTCATCCTGCAGTAATGGGCCACTCATGGCTCTGAGACACAATGGGGTGTCAGTGCCTCGAGTCACCACGCTCCCTAGTGAGCCCCATGCTCCACTCCCCTAGTCACAGGGCAGCGATGCAACAGCGGCAGGTGAGGAATGGTTTAACCCTCACAGCACTTTTCCTCTTAGGGAGAAACCACCATAACAAAGCCACACCAGTAACTTCATGGAAAATGTTCCACGTTTAGAGTCTGACCATTTCCACGAAGCATGACCACCACTATTTTAACAATTAACAATGCACATAGGCCTGCTCTTTGGTGGGCTGTGAACAGTCAATAAAACAACTCAAATAGTGAAGATGTTTGGTATTTCAGTACACAAATTTCAAGCTAGACAAATTTTTTTTTTAATCAGTACCGGGGATCGAACTCAAGCCCGCATACTTGCAAGGCAGACGCTTATGCCACTGAGCTAAATCTCCAGCCCTCAAATTTATGATTTAACTTGCTAAATTTTGAGTTCTTGCCTTCTTTGCAAATGGGTGCTTTAAAACTGAGTATGCAGGAATTTCATGCAGTCATATTTATTGAATTCGACTTTCAAAGGGAAAGGTTTTGGATGACTTTACTACTTTGAAATTGTTCATGTTTATGAAACAAAAAACTCACTTCAGCCAGGAGCAGTGGTATGTACCTATATATGTACCCCGCATTCTGGGAGGAGAGACAGGACCACAAGTTAGAGCAGCCTGGACAACTTAGCAAGACCCTGTTTCAAAATAAAATCTAAAAAGGGAAGGGACATAGCTTAGTACAAAGACCCTGGGACCCTGGATTCAATTCTCAGTATTTCACCCCAAAAATCATTTCAGAAACTTAACTCTTATAGCTCTTAATTCAATAAAACTCCATTTTAACTCTTAGTGAGAGCAAAAACATGAATAAGGACTAAAAACCAAACTCATCTCTCAGAAATAAACACAAGCACATTACTTTATGGGTGAACAAGGCCAACGGTGGGTTCATCTGCCAAGCCATCTGGGCCTTTGGTCTACTCAAGATAAGGAGGTCTGCCTTCTAATTAACATTTCAATTTTGATAGTTTTAGTCTATACAAATTTTTCATTTCATATTTTGTTAAGTTTATACCTCTATTTCTCCATAAAATCAATTTGTATAGGTTTTTAAATGTATTAGTGTCCACAAAAGCAAAGCAAGAGGCATCATAATCACAGACCAGAAGTTATACCACAAAGTTAACTGTGATAAAACAGTGTGGTACTGGTACAAAAATAGGCATGTGGGTCAATGGGACAGAACAGAGGAAGCAAAACAAACCTAGGCATATCCAGCTACCTGATCTTTGCCAAAAGGCCAAAAATGCACACTGGAGGAAAAAAAGATAGGCTCTTTATTAAATGGTGCTGGGAAAACTGGCTGTTCCCCCACACAGAGGTAAGGGGAGACCCAGCTCTCTCACCCTGCCCTGCACTAAAAGCAAAATGGATCAAAGATCTAAATGTTAAAACAGAAAAACTTGGGGCTGGGGAGTTAGCTCAGCGGCATAAGCACCTGCCTTGCAAGCAGGCAGTCGTGAGTTCGATCCCTGGTACCGAGAAAAATGAAAAAGACAAAAAAAAAAAAAAAAAAAAAAAAAAACAGAAAAACTTAACCTGCTCACAGATAAAATAAGGTACAACATATGTGTAGGCAAAGACTTTCTAAACAGAAGCCCAATGGCACAAAGAATAGTATCAAGAATCAACAAACACGATCACATCAAATTATTAAAAAAACTTCACACAGCAAAGGACACAACTGACCAAGTGAGAAAACCATTCTTCCAGCTATTTCTTAAAGGACTAACATCCATAATACAGATTAATACTAACACTTAAAATATCAGACCCCCCCCCAAACGAAAGATCCAACCAGAAAACAGACAATCAAAATGAACAGACTCAGAAAAAAAACTACAAGTGGCCCAGAGATATATGAACAAATGTTGCACATCGCTGGCCACTGAAAGAATGGCCATCATCAAGAAATCAAACAGTAGCACATGCTGGCGGGCAGTGGAGTTCCAGAAGGCAGTCCTTCTCCACTGCTGGTGGGAGTGTGACCTGGAGCAACCACAACTGTGGAAATCAGCGTGGAGAGTCCACAGAAGAGGAAAAACAGACATTTCATATGACTGAGTTATTCCCCTTCTGGGAATCTCCCAACGTGTTAACATCATCACACTACACTATGTTTACAGCAGCACCATTTATAACAGTGAGACCCTAGAAACAGCGTAAATGTCCACCAACAAGGAATAGAGATCAAGAGAACGTGGTATCTCTACACAGTAGAATACTACTCTGCCATAAACTTGAGGCAAATGGACACCACCGAGAACATAATGTGAAGTAAGACACACAAGTTTAAATACTGCATGGTTTCTCTGTGAGACATACCGAGACCTTTTCCAAATGGATGAAACAAGAGATGGAGGGAGAGGAAGGAAAGGGATAGAAAAAGAATTAAAAGGAGACAAATGATGAAAATAACTTTTGCAAATGGGAATGGGACCACAAGATGGAGGGAGTAAGCAGCAGGGAGTGGTCAGAGATAGAAAAATGAAAGAGGAAGATGCGTTGCATTCATGTACTAAATCTCCTTGGTAAATGGAACAGTTATGTACTGTGAACATGTACAAACAAATACATGTATTGGTGTCTAATCATACTTTTTTTTGGTACCACAGATCAAACTCACGCTTGCCAGGCAGGCACTGATGCCATTACAGCTAAATCCCCAGCAAGTCTAATCATATTTTCACATTAAAATATCCGGCAGATGAGAAAATGCTACTGTGAACTACACCAATCTACTAATCTGAAGTCAAAACTAATCCCAAATAAATATTTTGGGACAAAATTAGTTTAAAAATAAAGTCATGGGGCTGGAGGTTTAGCTCAGCGGCATAAGCACCTGCCTTGGAAGCAGGCAGTCGTGAGTTCGATCCCTGGTACCGATAAAAACGAAAAAGCCAAAAAAAAAAAAAAAAAGTCATGTATCCTTACTCAGACTTCCTATGAAAAACACTCCACATAACCCATATATACTAAGAAACTACTGTCCTATAATACTTCCTGTAGGAGCAGTTGACACATGTATCCCATAAAGAGCCAAAGAGAAAATAAACTTCTTAGGTTTCGTGGATCAGCCGGTCTCTGTCCTAAGTACTCAACAACGCTGTTAAACCCAGAAAGGAGCCACGGATAATACCTAAGAATGAGAGTAATGAAATCAAGTTCACAGAACCAGGGTGCGGCCGCAAGATGATTTGAAAATCACACAGCTAACCCTCTGCACTTTCCCTTGCCCCCAGCACTGAGTTGGGGCTCCCGCAACCCCAACGTTTCACTTCTGGGAGGTGAAAAATTCAGTCACAGGACCTGAAACGTGTTCTTCTGCCATGGGACCCCAGCCAATCTCGGCTCAGAGAGGCATTCCAGGGCTCGCACTGAGAGGGGTTCATAGGGCCCTGCGCAAGGCAACAGAGTGGCTGACGGACTTTTTTCCTTCCTGTAGTTCCCCAATTTTCAGATAAGGAGACCAGCACTTAGAAAGGGCAGGTTACTCACCCAGGGTCTGCCCCAGCACTAATGCTGAAGCTCCTTATTAACCTGTCTGCAATATACTGAACCAGTATATAACTGACCATGTCTCCTGGGAGCCTTATCTCAGTCACCAAAGAAAAGTAGTTAGTTTGTCAGCTTAATGTTTTTTAATGAAGTACTACATGTGGCAGTATTTAAATTACTGTTTAAATATGTTTTTGAACCTTTTTTCCTAAATAATTACCTACACTGTAACAAATCACCAGAAAAAAAAACAGAATCTTTTTCAGGCACCTACCTGACTCTGGTTGATGGCTGCGTGGTTTCCGTGGAACGGCGACTGCCTCTCTTTGTCTCGGTGATGCCGGCTGCTGTGTTTACTTCTCTGCAACTGCTGGCGTAATTTTGCAATCTGAAAAGGGGGAAAGTATGAAGACTGTTTCTCACACAAAATAAAAACACATCCTTGCTTAGTAAAAACAAAGAAATCTCACCTTTAATAAATTCTTGAATATTTAAACCATATCCCAAAACTTATTGTGCAAAAGTTGTTCTACACATGTGCACACCTACGCATATTCTATCTCCCAACATTGTTCTCAGTCGTCAATTTCCCAAGTACTAATAAGTTTCCAACACTTAGTATAAGCTTTCAGAAACAATTAAAAACAATTTTCTCATTGCCCTTATCAGAAGTCAGCTTTAATTAGATTTAGGTTTTTTATTGACTTCCTAACCTTTGACACATTCAAAAATTACACAGCATTTGAAAATCTAGACAAGCCATGAAATGCACTCACAGACATAAACTTTAATAAAGTGATTTCAACGATTATCTCATTGTCATCCTTTGCATTTGTTTCTTACCTTTCTACATTATGTGTAAACCGCAAATATCATTAATTATAGGCACAGAAAATAGAAATCACATTACAGACCCATAATCAACCTGGTTATACTGAATTACCAAATTTAAGAAACATCAAAAAAATATTAAATGTGAATCTGTTGTACCACTATGATTTTGTAATTATGATGTTTATACTGTACAGACACGTATGGAATCTCCTGTTAAAGGGAGGAAAAAGGCTAACATCCATCACATGGTCAGAAAAGTACTGCATAATTTCCCCATTCAAACCTTTATCAAATCAAGATATAAATGTTTTTCTGATGTTCTTCTGGAAGTCAAACAAAAATCAACAGAAAACAAGAAAACACTGCTGCCCACAATTTCCAAGACCTAGTCAAGTTTCCAGCCCCAGGAGAGCTTCCTGACCTCCTTCAGCTGATCTGTGCTGCCCCAGGATGCCGAGCGCTTGTGTGACCCCTTCTTCTTCTCCGCATACTCTTCAGCCCAAGCACTCTCTGTCTACAACAGGAAAATGAGTCATCAATAACCTACACCATATTCTTTTTTTTTTTTGTCTTTTTCCTTTTTTTTTTTGTCGGTACTGGGGATTGAACTCACAACTGCCTGCTTGCAAGGCAGGCGCTTATGCCCCTGAACTAAATCCCCAGCCCCCCACCATATTCTTTTCTATCATAAAAATGCATTCCCATTAGAGAAATTAGATATTAGAGCATATTTAAAATATCATAAAGTATGCACAATTTCCTCAGCATTGGCTAATTATAATACTTTGGCATATTTTTATTACTAAGTTATTAATTATCTTACATAATCAGAATTTTTAAGTACAACATGCACCGAACAAAGTGTGCAGACACACATTAGTAACAACCAACTTTCTTGTGCTTGTATTATACTTGAGGTACTGTTTCCTCTCACGCTGTCTCTAATTTAACAAATAGAAGTTGTTCTTGTTCTGCAAAGTTTGTAGATAACAAACTAGGACAGTGCACAGTTAGGTAAGCTGCCTAAGGTCTCAGGAGCTAGCAAGTAGGAATACCAGCAATAACCCTAAGCCTCCAGCCCTTGTGTCTTTTCCACACTATGTCTACTCTTGCTTATGTGTATACAGTGGAGCCCCAGGGCATCAGTCTTTAGTGATTAGAATTTTCAAAAAGGGTGTACTCAAGCTGAAAGCACAAACAAATACTTGGCATCCAAAACACACTCTGCCGTGGACAATGATGTGCTGTCAGAAGGCCAAGGCACGAGTATCCCTTGAGCCCACAAGTTTGAGACCAGCCTGGGAAACACAGTGAGACCCCAGACAGAATCCTACCAACCTGGGCAAGCTGATGACACAGATTCCACCTCCAGTGCCTCAATGAGTAGGTGCAGCCTAATGGAGACCAATCTGACAACCAGCATAAAACTCACAACCACATACAGAGTGTGACATTTAGAGCCTTTTTGAGAAATATATCCTGCAGATGCATAAAATGTGTATATTTACATGCAAAAAAAAAAAAAACCCTGCTTATATTATTCCATAGAGCATATTATTCCATATAGTTCTTACAAGGACCCAAATGATGTAAATAAACTGGATTTATTAGGCTGGCCTATAAACATAGCATGTCTGTGTAACAGCCACCAACTAATATAATTCTCCGGACAACTCCCATCTCTGCTGTGATTTCTCCTGGGCTCTTTACATCAGCTGTTAAAATCTCTCTCACAAGATCAACCTAAAAATACAACCACAGAGCACACAGTATCAAAATTAAGCTAAAACCAAAATCAAAAGCTCTAAGCATGGTCCTGCTGATCTGCAGTGCAGGGCCCAGAGCCAGTTCAGGGAATGAGAACCTCGGCTGGCAAGGCTGGAGCTGGACTCTCCCTCCGTACACACTACACCAAAGACCAGAGTGGGTCAAATGTCTAAGCAGTAAAACAGAAACCATCTGCTGGAAGACGAAGTGAGTAAAACCAATGAAGTCGCAGGTGTGGGCAACGATCTTCTGGACAGAACCCCAACTGCGCAAGAAACGTCAGGACCAACACATGGGATTTGTCAAATGAAAAGTTTCTGCACAACAAAGAAAACCAACCAACCAACCAATGAGAAAACCCACAGAATGGGAACAGGTATTTGGCAGGTCCAGCTGAGACTGAAGACTACTATTGACACTACATAAAGAACTCTTAACAACAACAACAACAACAAAATAGGTTCCCCCAAACAAAAAGCCCAATTAAAAAGTGGGCAAGGGGGCTGGGGATTTAGCTCAGCTGCGTAAGTGCCTGTCTTGCAAGCAGGCAGTCGTGAGTTGGATCCCTGGTACCGATAAAAATGAAAAAGACCAAAAAAAAAAAAAAAAAGTGGGCAAAAGGCTTGTGTGTGACCCATTTTAGTGGCCACCAGGACCCTGTTGGACCCAGTAAAGAGAAGAAACTCTCGATGTGACAGTGGGGGAGCAGCCAGCTGGGTCCCGAGGTGGGATTTCACTCCCACAGGACCTGCTGGAATGTTTCCGAACAGTCACGGCCCCTGTCTCAACAAGCCCATCAGCGTGAAGATGGGGAGCAGCGCCAGCAGCCTGCATGCTCGTCAGCAGCCGCCTGTCCTGCAAGGAACAGGACTAGAGTGGGACACAAGTACTACTGAGCAGGGCCGGTGTGGAGGGCATCCTCTGCGCCCCACACTGCAACTGCCTCATCCTGCACCCATCCGTGAACAGCTTAATTGTAGATCTCAGTCTGTTCATAGCCTAAGTGAGAATTAATGCTCAATGTAAGGTGATTGGTGGGGAAAAAAAGTGGGCAAGAGAAACAGACACTTCAGAAAAGAAGAAATACAAATGGTCCATAAATACATGAAAACAAATTCAACGTGAACATTGATTCAAAAAATGTAAAATACAAACACTGAGATTTCAACTCATTCCAGAAAGAATGGCAAACAAGAAATCAAACAGTGACAAACGCTGGCAAGGCTGTAACAACAAGGATCCCTTCTCCACTGCTGCGGGTAAAGCAAACTAGCACAGCCACTCCAGCAATCAGCAGAAGACTCCTCAAAATACTGTGACTAGCACCCCATCCCACTGACCTGTCCCCTTTCAGGCATCTTCCTCAAAGAGCTGAGACTTCACGTTATAGTAACACATGCAAACCATGTACATGGCAGTCCCAGTGGGGAAGCTGCTTGTGCACCCACCCAGATGTACGCACTCAAACAAGGCACTGACACACTAGGTGGCAGCTGTGCCAGAGAGGACGACTCACACAACTGCTCACGGGGAATTCAACATGCCCTGGAAATGCAACACTGAGGGACACAGAGCAGACATCTACCTTTTTTCTCAGATGAGAAACCAAAATATAAATGAAGTGTCAAATAAAGGAAAGAAAGAGAGTGCTTACACACAGTGGACACTACTCTGCCACAAAGAAGATAAATCTTATTCCTCCATAGGAAAACAAGTGTAAAAGACCAGAAGCTTAAGCAACACAAATGGGATACAAAGCTTCAGTAGTGTATGGTTTCTCTTACATCAAAAACCCACAGTATAAACTAAAGAGCACCATTAAAGAGAATAACATGAAGACAGAACTTTATAAAAGAGAAGGAAACCAGGAGTTAGAGGGAAGGGGAAGGGAAGAGGATTAAAGAGCAGTTTATGTGTGTCACATATATCCATCAATGCCAGTCAAGTGAATGCAGTCATTATGTACTAGAAGCACACAAGACTAAAAAATGTCTGCTACAAACCCTTGTCATCTTGTAACACGGTATCCCATATACATTTGTTTTGTTTTTGCTTTTGTTTTGAGAGAGGGTCTCAGTTCATATGCAGTTCTGGATGTTCTTGAGTGACCTTGTGTCCCAGGCTGGCCTTGAACCCATGATGATTTTCTTGCCTCAGCCTCCTAAGTGCTAGGATTATAGGTACGCACCTTCATGCTTAGCAAAATTCTCCATTTTTAAAGAGAAATGATGTGATTTACCTACTTGACTATGTTAACAGTTTAAGATGGAAGTAGGAACAAAATAATAAATTTTTATTATTTTCATTCTATTATGCTAAGTGATTACAAATTATATGACAATGGAAATACAGGGAAGAATGTCAATTTTTTGATATGAAGATATGAGTCATAATTTTACTTAAAAATAAAAGGATGGATTGTAAAAGGTTAAGAATGGCTCGATAGAGAAAAGGAGAAAAGAAGGGAAAAAATGTCAGGATAGAAAGTGAGTTGTAATCAAATGTGAGTGATAACAAGACTTTCTAAACCTTGTAAGTGCAAGAAACCACCCCAGGGGCTGGGGATTTAGCTGAATGGCATAAGCCCCTTCTCCTTACAAGCAGGCAGTCCTGAGTTTGATACTCAATACAAACAAAAACAAAAACAAAAACAAAAAGACATTGCCCTGATTCTCACGGGGTATCTTTGAGAGCAGAACCAAGGAGAATAAGCACTGCAACCTGTTTTATCTTTATACACCCCACCAAGAGGAAATAACTCCGCCTATTTTCTGCTACTATATATATTAAACTTTGGGCTAAAATCATGGTGAAGAGCTGCTCTGGAGGTATAATCCAAATTCAAGAACTGTTTAAACTTCACAGTAGCATTTGAGGCTTAATAACTCAGGGTTTAAGTTGTATCTTACTTGCTAAGGTTCTCAATATAGCTTGGGAAAACTGGTTTCTTTCTATACAAGAGGCAAGGGAAAGCGTCTCAATGATAAGGGACTTTCTATAGATAGATAAGACTAACACCCTCAATTAATTAAAAAAGGAAGCTGCAAAAGAAAGTATTAATATAGTATCTGGAGGAAGGGTCACCTTTTTCTTCTCTTCCCACTTTTACAACCTCTAGGAAAATATACTGACTTAGACAAGGATCATTAATGAATACTAAAAGTCATTAGGTAAAAAGTTACTAGGGAACAGGGTATTTCTGTGATGTCAAAAAGTACTCTAGGGGCTGGAGGTTTAGCTCAGCGGCATAAGCACCAGTACCGATAAAAAGGAAAAAGACAAAAAAAAAAAAAAAAAAAGTACTCTAAATTAGCTGCAGATTGAAAATGGGAAAAGTTTACAAGTGTGTAAAATTCATTACAAATTCCGGGGGCTGGGGATTTAGCTCAGTGGCATAAGCACCTGCCTTGCAAGCAGGCAGTCGTGAGTGCGATCCCTGGTACCGGAAAAAAGAAAAAATAAAATAAAATAAAATAAAATAAAAAGAATATGGTATTTTTAGACTAAAAGAGATTAAGGAGAAATCAAGGACAATGTATGAATTTCAGATTGTACCCTAGTTTTTTTTAAAATTTTATTTAAAGAAAGACTAAACAAAACAGAAAACGGGTAAAAATTTTTCAAAGAAAAAATAAACAGTAATAAATCACTTGTTTATGTTTACATACTGTCCTCTTACAAATAATTGTTCAAGATACAAAAGTAGAACATACAAGTGGGAATTCAAACAGTACCCTAGTTTTTAAAGAACCCTGGAACTGTGAATTCTTTCAGAAACCTAGGTTTGCCAAAGAAAGGTAAAGTTTTTGAGAGGCACCATCAGAGCTCACACTGAGGTCAATGGGATTAGGTTAACCTATCAGGACAAAAAAGAAAAAGGAAAAGAAAAACCTCTGAAACATGGATACAAAAAAGTGAAAATTTTCAAAAGCAAAAGATAACTAGCTTCTAGCATAAAGACAACAAGCAAAGGAAAAAAGAAAGAAAACCAAAAACCAATCACATAAGTCTGATGAGTGACCTAGTAGGTAAGTCAAACCCATGAAGACTGGAGACAAAATGCCCTCAGCAGTAAGCAGGGGCCTGGACTGCACAGATACACCAACAGCCAAAAGGCACCAGAAAAACACCTGACAGCATCAGCTGCCGGGAGAAACAAACCAGAGCACAGAGACACACTACTTCCCGCCTATCAGGATAACTGTAATTAAAGAAAAGCCAATAAGTGCCAGAACAGAACCCCACATGCCATGGTGGTAGGACGCGAGGCAGAGCGCCAACTGTGGGAAGGGTCTGGCCGCTCCTGCTAGAAGGCTTCTAGACCTTTACTTATTATCTGTTTCCTTGTTTCCATGGCGATGCCAGGCAAGGGCCAGAGCACTGATCTGCAGCCTCGGCTGCGGGTGCCCCGAGGTCCTTGGTCGTTCAGTACAGCCCTGCTCGCAGGTTAGAAGACAGAACAGACGGGGGTAGGTGAAGAAGTGAGACAGTACAGCGAGGAAAACAAGGACCTGCTGTACACTGGGGCCTGGGTAACCCCGAAAACAGACACTGAGCCATATGAGGGAGGCAGGGAGGGCAAAAGCTCATGAGTAACTTAAGCATGGGCTCAGTCAGACCCCTTGCCTAGGAATCAGGCAGAACACAGACCAACAGGGGAGAGAAGGCAGAGGAGAGCCGTTCAAGGCTTTGGCCCACTTGGGGCATGAGCGGAATGCTTCGGACATGCTGTCCATGTCACTCAATCACATGTTTTAAAGTGATTAAGGTGGTGATTTTCATGCAATACATATTTTACTATAATTTTTAAAAGTTAACACAACTTAAAACTTTAAATTTTTGTTTGGGGATTTTTTTTTTCCCCAAGTAAAAACTCCTTTACTTTGAAACAGTAATAGTAAGTAATTCTGTATGTACAGAAACATTACCCAGACCAATACAGGGACTTCTGTATGTCCTCACGCCCATTCTTTGGGGGAATGTTTTGTTTTGCTTTGTTCTGGGTTCTAAGATAGGGTTGTACCATGCAGTCTAGGCTGGCCTTGAACTCACTCTGCAGCCCAGCCAGGCATTGGACTCACAGCTCTTTCTTGCTCGGGATCCACATGCTGGGGTTTTGGGCAAGTGCCGCCACACCTGGCTACAATATTTACAAGATTTTACCTCAACTTTCAAGCTGACTTAATTAACTAGCAACATCTGCCAGTAAACAACGCGAACTTTCAAATAATCACATTAACAATTCATTTGCTGAAAATGGGGGCCCACAATGTAACTCAAAGATTGAAATACCCCGCAACACAGTGCTATTCTTTAGATTTTACAGACCAGCTTTATAAGCAACATTAAAATTGTGGTAATTATATACTTTCTTTGTATTTGTACCCATAACATTCCCAATTTAGGAGACATTGAGAGAAAAATGAAGGCAGCTTGTATTTCAATAATGCCAGATCCAGGTCATAGGAAACTGATGAAGGACAGAAGAGTTTTCACAGATCAAGGGCTCCCAATGTTCCTACTAATGTGATGAAATATTGGAACCCACAAGCTCTGAAGCCAGAGGAAAAATAATGAGTACTGAAGTTCAAGACAAAAAATCCGCTGATGTGCACATGCGATCTGTGGGGAAGCAGAAGCCAAGGAGCATCTCCTGGTTTTCCCTAGTATTTTGCCTTAAGCAACAGCACAGTCACAGATTTTGAATACAAAGTTCTGCAGAACTCTCTGATTTAAAAAATTATAATTTCAGAAAAAGCTCAGTGCTTACAATGAGTATGAACTCACTGCCTCTGCATTCGTGTAGTGGCACTCTGGAGTACAAACCCAAAGGTAATCCCAAGCCCCAAGTACCTAGGTTGATAGGAAGACTGAGCTTCAGGAGCATCAGAACAGAAAACTCAAGTCTGCCAAGAACACCTGGGTGCTAACATGCAGACCTCACACTACCACACTGTGTCCACTCACCTCTGCAAAAGGACATTCTTCCCAGAATCGTCCACTCGTAATGTATGAATCTTAAAGGCTGCTTTTAGAAAACATAAGGAATCTTTAAAACCTTAAGAACCTTCTTTCTTCATTAGCAATAAAACTGCAATTGTTCTGCTCACATATATTCCATGAGCATTTAATGCCAAGAGCAAAACTACGTCCAGGGGCTAGAAAGAGCAACAGATACACCATACACAGTTCCTATCTTCATGGGTCTTGATGTCAGGCATATATGAATCAATGCTCCTACAGATGTGCAATTACAACTCTGGCTGGTGCCACAAAAGACTCCAAACTAACATGTGGTCATCGACAGCCTGTGTGATCCTGGCCCTGGTCTCTTTATCAGCAGGTGAAAGCAGAGGTGAACGATCCCTTAAGATCTTTCCACATTTTACTGTTTGTTTGTCTTTTTGAGACAGGGTCTCGCTATGCAATTCAGGCTGGCTTTGGGCTCACTTTGTAGCCTAGGCTGGTCTCGAACTTGCAATGATCCCCCTGCCTCAGCTCCCAGAGTGCTGGGATTACAGGCGTGAGCCACCACACCTGGCTCCGTATTTTACTGTTTACTTCAATAATACTGGAGATGGCATGAGGGCCCTTGCACTGAGCTACATTCCCAGCCTTTTCTCAATAAACATGTTTTCATTTTCAGAAAGGGTCTTTAAGTCACTCAACTCCCCATGAACCTCCAGCCTCGGACTCCTGCAGGTCATGCACCCAGCTCAAGCTCCTTTTAAAAATTGTATAAAATTTAATGGTGTACAACTTATCCAGAGTCCCTTGGTCAAGATATTTATATTTACAGAATCTATTTAGCAACAGACTATCATTTTCCAATATACAAATATTTTTGTCACAAAAATATAAGGGTAAATAGGAAAGTAATCTTTACTATTAGAAATCTGAAGTCTGCGGCTGGGAATTTAGCTCAGCGGCATAAGTGCCTGCCTTGCAAGCAGGCAGTTGTGAGTTCAATCCCCAGTACCAGTAAAAACGAAAAAGACAAAAAAAAAAAAAAAGAAAGAAATCTGAAGTTCAAAATCCGCACTAAAAATACTGTAATGTTCTTTAAAATACTGTAATGCTCTAAACTAATTTATAAACAATAAGTGAAAGAAATGCATGTTTACAAATCATCTGTATGTATCAGAACTGCACTGAGAAATTTTAGAAATGTACCCCTGCGGGCGCTAACACCCAGACACACGCCTGTGGTGAGGCCTGAGCAACACAGGGGTGAGCTACACTACGGTAAGCCTGGGAGAAACTGAATATACTCTGCTTCCGAAATCTGGGCACAGACACAGCAAACAACTCGAGAAAGCACCAAGTACAGCAGCGTCGACGAGGGCCACCATGTACCTACTTGTGTGGCTTTGTCCCTCATGCAAGGCACAGCTTGCGTGTGGCTGTCACGAGGCCAGTGCCCAGCGAGGTACGGAGCTGCCAGCGTATCCAGGGAGGACGTGCGGCGGATACTGCTGGAAGGGCTGCAGGGAGGCAGTCGGGCTTTGTCACCTAGGTTTAAAGCAAAGAAACTTATTTTTAATCATAGTTTAAGAAGAAAACAAAGCAGAAATTCAGTTCTAAACTACATAGAAGTTTTTCAACTTAAATACTCGTAATGTATGAATCTTAAAGGCTGCTTTTAGAAAACATAAGGAATCTTTAAAACCTTAAGAACCTTCTTTCTTCATTAGCAATAAAACTGCAATTGTTCTGCTCACATATATTCCATGAGCATTTAATGCCAAGAGCAAAACTACGTCCAGGGGCTAGAAAGAGCAACAGATACACCATACACAGTTCCTATCTTCATGGGTCTTGATGTCAGGCATATATGAATCAATGTTCCTACAGATGTGCAATTACAACACAGCGCCTCACTTAGGGAGGACTCCCATTCTAAATATTTGGACCTCAGCATCAGCAGAATCACTAGGCCTCTTGTTAACAAAGTACAGGCCTGCCCCACGGGACGGTGCAGTAGAAGCCAGCAGTCAATCACGGCTTCTCTGGAATCTGGACTTGAGACATCAGGAAAACAACTACTTAGCAAGGAGAAAGATGAAGAGGTGTAGGAATCATAAAAGCCAACCAGAAAGCTGAAAACCACAGAGAAGTGGAAGATGACGCAGAGAAGACAGCATTCACCTGGACCACTGAGTCCAGCTCCTGCTGAGAGCATGCTCGGCTCTGCCCCGTGGCCTTCCAGTTTGCATCAGTGTTGATGATGAGGTACTGTAGCTTTTCATGGTCTTCACTGTGTGTCAACATACGATTTGTCCTTGTTTCTATTTACTGTAGCTGAGTTTTCTATGGTTAATGATGGAACTAATGCTGTTAATTGATTTTTACTAATGTGGACACCTGGTTTGTCCCTGTGTCAAAGGGAGAAAGTCCTTGCTAGCAACTCCTCTTACAGAGGGTTAACAGCTAGAATCCACAAGTACCTCAACCAGCATCACCAGAAGACCATGGCAAACAACAAAGGGGCAGATGCATAGACAGACACATCTCAACAGGTACAAATGGCCACTAAGTAAATAGGAAACCATCTCCCACGTGCTCAGCCAGCAGGAAAACGCAAATGAAAACTAAGACTGGATCCACCCCAGTCAGAATGGTCATTAGGGACAGTTTCCTCCATGACTCCAAGCTGCAGAAAAACTGGATGCGAACTGAGTCAAATTTCCCCGTGAGGTCAACATGGACCCTAATCAGGGAATTTGACTCAGTTCTTGCCCAACTTGGTGTGAGACCAGAATGGAGAAGTTATCAAGTTTGTGAATTCAAGCACCACTGTACAAACAAGCCAGGAGTGGGGGCTCATGCTGTAATTCCAGCACTCAAGAGGCTGTGTCAGGAGGATCCCATCACTTTGAGAACAGCCTGAGGTAGACGGTGAGATCAAGCTTACCCTGAGCTACACGGTGAGACCAAGCTTACCCTGAGAAATATGGTGAGATCTGGCTTACCTTGAACTACGCAGTGAGAGACCCTATCTCAAAAAAACAAAACAAAAACAAAAATAGTGTACAAAATCACACTATGGATGATATTCACAGATGAACTTTTCCAACTGATTTGATGATACAGAACCACTAACTGCAACAATGTTACTCTCCTAAAAAGAACTCCTTTTCAGAACTGTACTATGATTACAACTTTTTTTTTTTTTTTTTTTTTTTTTTTTTTTTTGAGACAGTGTCTCTCTATGCACTTTGGACTGGCCTTGAGCTCACTTTGTAACCCAAGCTGGTCTCTAACTCTCAACAATCCTGCCTCAGCTTCCCAAGCGCTGGGATTACAGCATAAAGACACCACACCCAGCCTTACAAACGTATTTTAAAATTGCAATCAAAATGTGTGAAAACTCATTTTCTCTTGTTATGTAAGTACCTACACAACAGCTTTAGATTTTGCCTCTTTACCTACGGAGATGCACACTTTGCTGTCTGGCTCATTATGGGTAAAGTCTGCTGACTCTCCCTTACCTGCATGATCTTCATTTCTGCACTAGGGCCCCCCACTGTCTCCCTCACCTTATAGAAAACAGGGTAAGCTTAGCTCAGTAACTTTTAAAAAAATTTTTGTTTTTTTTTTCAAACAAGGTCTCACTGTATTATCCTGGCTGGTCTGGATCTTCTGGACTCAAGTGACCCTTCTGCCTCAGCCTCCCAAGAGCTGAGACTACAGGGAGGCACCACACCTGTTTTAAAAATATTAAATATATGCATGATATCATATGACCAATACTATCATTGTAGGCCTGTATAATGGCAAACACTTTGCTCTTTTTATTTAAGAGACACACATGGATGAAAACACTTTTTAAACCTCTCTTCTAATTGCATTACATTAGTCTTCAGGGTAAATTCAATCACTGGTTCAATTTCACTAAGACAATAATTACTACAGCTGTGTTACACAAAAACGCTGCTTCATAGACACATCTCAGCTACATGATTTGCTTTCAGAGTGGCACAAATATTTCTTGAAAACAATGCCCATTTGCTATAAATGCTAACCAGCTCTCCAGTCTTCCTTTTAGAGTGTATTCTGGTTCAACAAAACAGAAACACATGCAGTACACACCAGCATGTCCAAGAATGGACACACCTAAAGAATGCACACACCTACATGACTGCGAAAAGCTGTAAACATACAACATGCTCACAAAATTTCTTCCAGCTAACAACTCCGCACTCAGTCGCAAGACTGACCTCAGCTGGGTGGGCCATGGAACTCAGGAAAATCCAACTGCTGAATGAAAACCACATGGCACTTTCTTCCCCAACCACCAGCGAGTGCTCAGCTCACTTCCGTCCTTCAGCACACTTGACACACGCACCTCACTAAAGCCTCTGGTCTCGCTGAACCCCAAAACCATCAGGATGATCATCCATAAGCAGCAGGAAAATAGAAGAGCCACACAGTAGAGGAGAAAACACCCAGAACCTGTTCTGAGTGGCCTTCTCCTAAGCCACTGGCCAAGCAGGCACAGGGGTCCTGGAGCTGCCAGAAACCTAGGCACAGAGCAAGCTACTGAAAAGCATCCACTACATGTCCATTCCAGTCCAAGTCCCCAGAACCCACAAGAGCTACCCCAGTCATGGCAGACCTTACTGGAGGGAAAGGGGCCCAAAGAGGCCGAGATGACTCAAACATTCCTCCCTCGAGGTGAGGAACTGCCTACCTAGCCTGGCCTTAACTTGTGTTCCTCCTGCCTCAGCCTCCAGTGCTGGCTCACAGGTGTGCACCACTGTGCTCAGCCACAGGTGACCTCCATAACCTGGCACCACCAGCTCACTTTGTGCCCGCTGTCCTCATTCCCACCAAGCCCAGAAGCCTCAGCTCCTGCACACACTGGGCCCTGGGGGGCCACCGGGTCTTTGTGCTCCTCAGGTCCCCCCACCACTAGCTCCTCACCAGTGTGGCTTACTCACAATGAATTCCTCCCATCCAGGCACATGGGCTCCCGAGGCATGGCACAGCACTCACAAGGTCCTCTCACTTCCTGTGCCCCACTTCCAAGTAGGGTTTTACCACCATCCCATCACAGCAGTCAGACTGCACTAACACAAAAGGATGTATTTTCTCGGGCTGGGGATTTAGCTCAGTGGCATAAACACCTGCCTGGCAAGCACAAGGTCATGAGTTCAATTCCTGGTACCGCAAAAAAAAAAATTAAAAACAGGATGTATTTTCTCAAACGACCAAAAAAAAAGAAAAGAAAACAGTGATATTTTCGGTTAATTAAGCAGTCATTTACCCTGAGGTGGACTGGAAATGCAGGAGAGAATGACCCTGTTAGTGTCTTTCGTCAAGGATGGACATGTGCAGTAAATCCAGATGCTTTATTAATTCAAAGTAAATAAAAACAATTTAAGCCCATCTGAGCTCCTCGTGTTCAAGGCCAACCTGGACTGCATCTGAGCCCTTGTAGAGAGGTTGATTACACACTGCAGGCTTGCAGAGTATAGAACTGAGCTGGCAGCCAGCGTTTTGGGCTCTGGAGTTCAGGGCTGCCCAGCATGACACAAGTTTGGGCAGGGCGCCCTAACCCATGGCCCCATAACTCCTTTATGAGGGCCCTGCAGACCTCCCATGCACACCACTGTGAAGATGCTGGTATTCATAGAACTGGATCAAGCACAAAGACTGTATTTCCCATCATCCACAAAAACCAACCGCAAGGGTCGGGGATTTAGCTCAGAGGCATAAGCACCTGCCTTGCAAGAGCAAGGTTGTGAGTTCAATCCCCAGTACCCACCCCCCAAACAAAACCCCAACCACAAACAAGAGGTAAGTTCATTTGCTCAGAAAGGTGCAGGGATGTTTTTTGTGTAAGTATAAAAATAACAAATATGTAACAGTGCAAAAATGAAAATAATATTCTAATATACCATCCTTCAGCACCCTTTTGTGGATATTTCCAGGTATCTGTCTGTACTTAGACACACATGCGGTTTCATATAAATGAGGTCCTATTATGCATGCAATTACTGTTGAAAGAAATAAAAAGGTGTGCATGTGGAGTCACATGTTTCCATAGTGACAACTGTAAATCACCATTTTTAATGGTATCTATTTCCCTAAACACCATAATTTAACCTCACTTTGACAGAAACATTAGTGACAGATATTTTTTATATTTATCTCTTTGTGTAATGGTTTCTAGGTACCAAACTGCTATATTTAAAGTAGTCTAGCAAAAACCTACAATGCCATCACAAGGGTGCCCGTCTTGACATTCTATGAATAAATTTAGTCAATTCTTGCCAATCTAAAAAGATGAAAAATATTTTATTTGCATTTCAATTATCACTGACTTCTAAAATATTCATAGTTACTGTTTCTGGGGGGTTTTGTGCATAGCACAGGGGATAGGATACAGGATCTTTGCACTGAGACATGTTGCCAGTCCTTTTTAAATTTCTGAGACAGGGTTCTTAGTAAGTCTTCCAGGCAGGACTCAAATTTGTGCTCCTCCTGCCTCAGCCTCTCAGAGTGCT